GATAGAAACATCAAGACACTGAAGAGGTGGCAGGTTGCAGCACCACTGCTGAGAAAAGATGCACCAGTACCTGTGAATTTATTCAAGATTAATTGTGATATTTTATAGTTTTTCACAGTTCTTTACGTTCTAAAATTGGAACACAAAAACTAAAACTTGCAAACCTAATATATATATTACACTCAGTTTTAAATTTTATATCAGTTTTTGCAAAAAGCTACACACCAGTTTCCCTTTAGCTGCAGCGGGATACCAGCCACTAGTGTTTTGCTCTTCTCCAGGTGGAAGCTTTCTTTGGCTGTTTAGTGCAGCGAGTTGAGCTCCGTGGATCAGAAGGCACACCAACGGTGCAATACTTGAATAGTTGGGAAGATGTAACAGATTTAGCGGCTTTGACATGTTGTGCTGATAGATGGCGGACTCCCCGAGCTAAATACAGCAATATTGCTGTAAATGTTGAAACATAACCACACAGAATTTCTCACTGACTGATGGAGCAGTCATTTACGGTCTAATCTATCTAACAATCTAACTTTTTTTTTTCTCCAGAACTCCATAATTGCAGAACACACAATATTCTGTAACATTCACCAGCACATTACAGCACAACCATATCAAGATCATACAGATCTACAGTGTGCCATTTGACCAAAACTCAGAGAGGGTTCAAAAACAGTGCTATGAATATGTTAAACTACACTATAAATGTACTATTGTATCAACAATGTATGAGTGGCGGAGCCAGACAATTTTCATAGGGGTGGCCAGACTGAGACCATAGCTCACACAGGGGTTGCACAGGGGTAGTACAGGTGTACTGTACCTGTATGTTCACTTCCATGAAGAGCAACAGATGAGCACTCTCCTTCAATGTCTGACTCTGTCTCATCACTGTCATCCTGCATCTCCCTCTCCACACCACTTTCCCTCCTCTCATTACTCGGCTTTAGTAAGTAATTTTCCTCTTCATTTTGCCTGAGGGGTGCAAAACCAAAATATAGTAACCTTAACATTATGGGCAAGCATTTCAAAAATATTCCTTTGCAATACTTTGCATGTGATCATTTGGCTGCCAACTGCCAACAAAACATTTTAATTCCCTTTCAAGGATATGACTGCTAAGTTAACAGCCTAAATTAACTTAGCAAACTTTACCATGTCTGTTTCAACTCCAGCACGCCAGCCATAATATACATACATTAAGACAAGAAATATTTCAAACATAGTGAATAAACTTAATTCTGCTTGTTAACTTACCTGTGACCTCTTCCATGTAGGCGGGAAACAGACAATCCTCTTACTGCAGGTGCAAAGTCCCCGCGAACAACAACACTACTTATTCTTCTTCTGTAATTGTGTTGGTGGTTGAAATTCAAGTTAAGTGTATTACCGCCACCTTCAGTTTGGGTGGAGAAGTACCTGTTTGAGGTGCGCTGTTAAAATGCGTCCATATGGGAACACCTGTGTACAGTAATGGTTCCGCAAAAAAGTTGCTGGCAAAGCGCTGGTGGGGGGGCCAGGGGGGTGGCCAAAGATTAATGTATGGTGGCCGCCCCCTGGCTCCGCCCCTGCAATGTATAGACATTAGACATTAAAGTACTGTAATCCAGTGTATTGTGCTAGCTAGCATATTGACTGCTCCTAGTCTATTTCTCATATTGTATGGTCTGTTTCAGAGAGCCTTGGATGCCGCTGCAGCACGTTTATATTTTTATTGATGAGGCTGGCTTTAACCTAGACAAAAGAAGGGGACGGGGACAAACCAATAATTGTTGTTGTGAATGTCCCCGGACAGCGTGGAAGGTATATCACCATGCCAACCTTAGTCCCTAAGATGTTTCATCGACCACCTATAGTTTATTGTTCTTTAACCTCCCGCCATATTCCCCATTCCTAAACCCAATTGAAGAGTTTTTTGGCATGGCGATGGAAGGTGTATGACTGCCATCCCAACAGAGGATGCATGTGTGAAGTTGATGTGGGGGCTGTATCTGTAACACTGTAACTCCAAAGGATTCTTTACCCGCTATTTCGCCAGGAAGAACATCGCTTGTGATGAAGATGAGGTTCTCTGGCCAGACCACAATTGCTTTTTTCTTACATTATGCAACAACTGGCTTGTCACTGGTATAACACTGAAAATGCAAAAGGCATAAACCTACTTGTAAGATATTCATAGTTGTGTTTTTTGTTGTTGTGTGTGGAAACATTTATTCATAAGATGGTGTATGTGTGTCATTTTAATGCAAAAAAATGTTTTGAATACAGTGTTTGCTTTTGCAAGAGATTTGAGGAGATTTTGCATTTTATGATTGAGGTTTTGTTAAGAGTTTTGAGAAAATGAGCTTAAGATTCAGAAAGCATGTGTGAACAATTGTTAATAACTAAGTTGGAGAAGCTCGATAAAATTGTTTCCTTTCGAGGTTTGGCAGCTGAGAAAGTATTTTTTTACACAAGGCTTGGCTTTGAACAACTTCATTGCACAGCAGCTCATGAATGGCAGTGCCAAAGGGTTACAGCACAAATTCCTAACCCACACACCAATAATATATATTAATAATAATATAATAATAATTTTATTTGTAAAGCACTTTTCAAGTTTACAAAGTGCTTTCCAGAATAAAACTTATAGAGATAGAAAATATTAGTATTAATATAAAAGAAAGAGTAAATGGATGATACTAAAACAGGGACAATTCAAATTCATGTATTAATTTAAACAGGTAAAAAGAGAGTTACAGTAGTCCAGGCATGTTTTTTTCTGTGTCACATGTTGCACATGTTACAATGAAGAGACATCGAAGAGATTGATAAGCAACCTGTGGTCACTTCTTAGTTGTTCTAGACAGCAAGAAGAGATTGTTGGCTGTGTGTAAGTCAGACAGTTAAGAGGCCCCTGTTAAAGTGGAAGCTGTCTCTGAATTGCTGTCTGTAAAATATGTCCACCATGACCTCCACAAATGTCAATCCTGTTGCCATCGTCCAAATGCCAGTTGTATTTCTTTGATTTTTTTTCTTCAGATGGAAGCACGGAAATAAACATTAGCAGATACAAAAGGACAATAACTAGTCACACAGTACTAATGCATCTTTAAAGGTTTCTTTTCTTGTCAATGTGTTCTTCTGTTGTTCAGGGCTGTTTTTATTTAACCCAGCTGATTTCATTTTGGACCAGCTCTTGTGCTCATACTGGGGAACAGGTAATGCCTTTGAATTGTGCAACAGATTTTCATTACATTTATGAATGTGCTTTATAGTCACAGGCAGTGGTCTATCCCAGCATGGACTGGCACACTGAATACGCTGCTACTACATCATTGGGAAAGTACTGAATTGACAAATCCACTTGATGACATGCAGGTTTATTATTTATTTCCTAAAAAAGCACTAATGCTTAAATGTCACTAGACTGCCAGTAATTGCTTTCTTTTGTAAGTCTTAATTAATAAATGGTGACAACAGCATATTGCTTTATAGAATGTGGTGAAACACGTAAACCTAATGTTCTGTATAGGGTGCTGGAGACCCCAGGCCCTCTTTAACTATACATAAAACATAGTTTAAGGTGTGGTCACTCATTCTGGAGAAAGACGGTTGAGTGATGAGTCTCATTCCCAGGTCATCAAATATTCTCATCAAGACACTTTGAGTTATGATAAATGGGGAAAGATATTAAGTGTCTTCATCAATAATCAACTATTTTTCTCCAGAAACAATAAATAAAATTAAAATACAATGGATTGCCAGATGCTCTACATTGGTGATTACTTTTATTCAGCGCTACACCTCTCATATAAGTTTGGTCTCTGACATTTTCATCATTAAAAGGAAGTGAAACAAGTTATCATTACTAACACTCGATGCACTTCTTTGTAACCCTGGCCATTTAATATATTTATTAAACTGCAAAATCAACCCTGCAATCATTCATATAACTGTAGATCATCTGGTTTCACAGATCCAGTGTACATATTCTGCTAATTAGTACAATAACATTAACACACTTTGATTTTGAAAAATATATATACTTTCTGTTTGTGTGGATTATATTATTTCTATTATTGTATCATAATTCCTATTCTGAGGCAGCAGACAACAACAGATTCACAGAGCGTAGAATAACGGAAAACTGTTTTACGCGGGAATTTCTACATCTGTAGTGACAATCAGACTAATTCAAACCATTAACACAAACTACTTTTAAAAGATTTGTTGCTACTTTTAGCATACAAAGTGTGACTTTTTGCAGCAGTGGGGAGATTATTCTATATGTCATTATGTATTTTATTCTACAACTGCCCTCTATCTAATATCCTCATTGATTTCACTCCATTTGCCAATACTTATCCCCCCCTGAAGGTGACATTTGTTCTGTTTATTTCCTCCACACCGTAAAGGCCAACAGTTGAGGAGAAACAGATGGGAAATTCAGCTCTCAGTGCTGACGATCAGCATTGTTCCACTGGTCCATTCACATTTACTGAAATACGTCTATCTTGACACCACAACTTGGCTCTTATACATCCTCGAAACAAAAATGTATCTTTCTCTCAATTTTATCTTGGTTATTAGTGTTATTATTCTACTCACTCTAAGTAAGGAGGTTATTTACAAGGTCAGGAGAGTTGTTACTTGCTATAATTATCTCTCATGTCTCTCTTTCAAGTTGGTTTATTACTATCTTTCTAAATGTAGTTATTATAATTATAATATCTCTATATACTGTAGTAAATAGGATAGAGCTCTCTGTAACCTTTGAGTTAGTTTCATTGCCTGCATGTACTGGCAAATTCAAATACACTATTAAAAATGTAATAATTTTCACTGTATATTGCAGTTCTTGAGCGTATAAAACAAAAAGGAAAAGGTGAATATGCACCAACTCAGTTTACACAACTCAATGTACGTTTATTTTCTGTTTTGGTGAGATCAACTTGCACACACAAGCACAAGGACAATGGTTCATTCTTCCAAAGATTTGAAACAAAAATAGACAAGAATTTGAAGTCTGAGAGGGAATATTTTTATTACATTTGTCAAAACTGGTCTATGTGCGGCACCATTCTTCTGTCTGCCCACGCACAGCAGGTTACATAAATGGTTTCAATGCTCGAGCCCACTCAGTGTTTTAGTAGGCAGTCAACAAGTGAAAGAATTAGAAATGTATGTATTCTCCAAATGACCTATGCTTCTCACATTCAGCAAGAAAAGTTAGAGCACTTGGAGCTCTGAACTTAGTTCATGTGCTACTATTTTGCATCAGTGATTGAACTTCAGTGCCAGCGCAGCGAGAAATGAATGTTGATGTAGTGCAGTGTAAGACAGTGGAGGCTGATTTATTTTAATTTAATCTCAACACTCACATCCTGGGGTTTGTGCCATGTCTTGACAATACTTTTCTAACCTAACATTAACTATAATTTACTGCCGTCAGTTGAAAAATACAGTATATATCCAGTAAAAAGACTTTGGCGGTGAACATTTTGCAGACACATATAACATGAACATCATCTGTCACATCACAGAGATGGGAGAAAGGAAAATATTTTGGTCCTGGTGCAAGAAGATCTACAGCAACCATACTTGTAGTCTGAGTAAAGACCATCTCAGCCTTAACATCAGACACAAAGCCTAAGAGAAAAAGCCCTATGGCCTATGATAAATGACTGGATTTATTCCATATGTGTCTGTATAAATCTGCACACTGTTCATTGTTTGAGCCATTCATATTTCAGCTACATTAATTCAAACCTGGTCGCCCGTTGAACGGAGCTCCAAACCTACGGATGAAGCTGGAGCAGGAATTTCCTAGCTGCAGATTAGGAACTTTATCAGTGCTCCACCAAAATACTGTAAATGTGTTGTCACCATAAGAGACAAAGATGTAACAAGTACTTTTACACCTCGTTAATAAGCTGCCCTACTAATCATTTGCGAAACTTCACCTCTCTGTTTCTCTGTTCAACTTTTACCCTGCTAAACATCCTTCTAAACTGCTGTCTCACAGTTTCCATAAATAAGATCCAATACATTAATTTAAAAAAAACAAGCACAAACAGCACACCACAGCCACAGGTCAGTGTGTCTACCCACACTATTCAATACTGAAAGGAACCAGAGAAAGGAAGAAATGACAAAAATACAGACATGCCTGACACTTTTATTCTCCAGTGTAAGAAGGAATAATTTATTTTCTATTCAGCTTGCAGAGTTTATGATAGCAGTCGATAAAAAAACAACACACAAAAAAGAAACCCCGCCATGCACTCTAGACTTAATAGCGACGCTGCCTCCTCCTCTTCAAGTATCTTCTCGACTCCTCTTCTCCTCACCAACCGCCTCTTCGCCATCCTCTGACCTCCTCTTCTGTCTTTTTTCACTTAATCAGGAAGCTGAGAGACAGAGGAGGATGAGAAGAGAAGGGGAAATGAGAGCAACAAAGGGAATAGGAAATAGAAAATAAGAAGGAAGGAATATAAATAAAGTGTATTTTTCTGTTACACAAAACCACAATGTATTTTTAGCAGGGGGCAAAAGATACAACTAAAAAGCTGTGCTGTACATAATTTTCTTGTTAGAAATTCTGACTGCAGGTTCAAACTGTTTCTGGAAGCATCAGGCAAAACTGCTTTAATGCTTGCTGAAGATGTATTTGTCGGTCAATCAGGAAAAGGAATTAAGGAGTGTCTATATGCAGTTACCATGTCTATATGCTGCTAAAAATTAAAAACTTGCATTGTGCTGATAAATATGAAGTCAGTCGCAGTCAAATCAAATATAAGAAACATATACAAACAAGCATAAGAAAGCGTCTAATCACACTAAAAACACTTCTGCTACTTCGGAGCTAACCATCTCAATGCTTACTTATTGGTTTGGAAGTTTGTTTTTTTTGTTGCTGAACAGATCAAATGTTTGTGTGTTTCATATAAAGTGGCATACAGTAAACTGACATATAGGTTTAGTTTAAAAATGTATCTTTAAGCAGTTCTTTTCAGGCTGCATTCTCATTTCAAGAGCCAGTCACAACTTTATTGCTTCTTCAATGGCATTCATAATTTCCCCATAATTGGAACCAGATTACAGAGTTCTTTCCAGGGAATGGGAAATAGGAATAACTTGTTAAATATCCCATTATCAGTTACTATGGATGGCTAAACTCTCCATCAATTGATATAAGTCACAATACAACAATCATTGAGCTGGCATAAGCAAATTGGTCTGGTTTTCAAGCTACAGGTCACAACAGGGTTCAAGCCCCCATGGCAGTACCTGATCTGCCCTGGTGAACTGCCCTCAACAACTTGAATCCTTTCCAGCTCCAGAGGCGAGTTTCAACAGCTGGAGGTGTTCTGGTGTTGTGCTGTAATAACCTTACTGCTGCTCCAGTGGCAATGTATTGGACCCAGACTCTGTGGACTTGTGGAGTGTTTTCTGTCAAACATTAAATCTTTTTTATGTAGTGGCGACCTTTAGCTCAAAGTGGGACCAAATTGCTGCTGTTCTGGCTCACTAAGCTGAAGGGTTTAAGTTTCTAAACACATTAATTATATGACAACCTACAGACAATGTCCATGATGAATCCATGATTTCTAATATACAGGGTAAAGATAAAAAAGGTGTGTGAATATACTGTATATTGAGTGTACGGCAAACCATCAAAGAAGCGTTGGAGTCAACAAAGTCAGACTGCAAATCTCCGTTGAAGTTTTAGCTGTAAAACTGGTCTCTAGAGAGAGAAGCTTGGCAATGTGGCTTATACATTTTGGAGGGAGTGTTTCCAATCGAACAGCTGTCTTAAGATCAATGAAATAATGGGAATGGATGGATCGTGTTTTGGCCTGGATTTCTGCACTGTGTCTGCAATAAGTCTGCAGTGATTTTATGTCAACTTCAGTGATTTCAAGATTCATTGTACGCCTGTATATTTTGTTTGAATAACTGTTGAGTAAGCTGGATGAAACTTGTGCAAGCAGCTGTACTGTGGTACTGTACGGTTGCTATAGTTACCTGTAGGGGTATCCATGGTACTTGGACCTGAAAATGGAGAGCAGGAAGCTAAAGAAAAACACCACCAGTCCAAGACCAACCAGGCAGATGACTGAAAAGACACACACACACAGTTTGTCATTAAAATAAATTGCACAACTGAAACTGAAGCCACAATTTACACACAATATCAGAATGTGATATTCTGGTGTAAAAAAAAACTACATTAAGAAACTGCAACATGATCTCTAAAACTAAAGTTTCTATAACTACACTTAATGCTTTGTAGTTTCTATATTTTTCCAACTTTTTGCAGGTCCTGCAGACACCCTGATATATGCATATTACTTATTACACAATGGCCTGTGAGAATATTTGATTCCTGGCTAAAGGCAACCATTTAAATCATTTCACGCACATTATAATCGTTGATGCAAGTCTCTGTTTGATCCCTGCTCAAATTGAATGTGCTTGCAGGGTTTAGACATGGTACACACTGAAAGCCTCTCTCTTCATGTTGGTGGTTCACACACACACAAACACACACGTAAGCACCTACACAGGCATACAGACGTGCAGCCAAATTAAGATATTTGCCCAAATTCTAATATAAAGGACGTCTAAAACATAATGTGATGCACTTCATCATGCCAATACCCTTTAATATTTACCCGCAAACCCACAACATGTGCCACTTCCTGTTTCTCATCATTACCCATACTGTGCTGCAGAAAATTGTGTTTGCAATTATTATCATCTTATTTCCTCAGTGCGTAGTCTAAAGCGAAATATACATAAGCATGATCTTTAATCTGCAGGGGAATTGTGTGTGTCTGTCTTTGTGTGTGGGTGTATGAGTGTGTGCACACACCCTCATGTAGCAGCTAATCCTTGAAAAGCACTGTGTTAAATTAAACTGTCACCACAGACTGATATTGTTAATCAGGGATTAGGATGAGGACCTCTCCTGGAGACTAAATAGTGAGATATGCGCTTGTTCTCACTGTGTGTGTATGTGTGTGTGTGTGTGTGTGTGCGCATGTATCTGTGTGAAAAGTTATGTGTGTATGTGGGAGAGAGGCAATGTCAGAACAAAAGATTTGGCTGGGAAAATGTAAGACAGATTATAAGTGTCAATTTGTGTGTATGTGCTGTCATTCATTTTCAGGGCTCCAGTGGTTTGTGTGTTGTCTGTGTGTGTTCTCTAATCTTTAATGCATGTGTGTATAAGGCTACTATTGCAGCCATTGCTCAATGTCGAACTATAACTCCTTTTTTTTTATTTCACACACATATAATACATTTACAATTCAACACATACACACACACAAACCTCAGGGGTTGTCTTGTGTTGTAGGTGTGTGTGTGTGTGTGTGAGAGAGAGAGAGAGACCGAGAGAGAGAGCAATTGGCATGACATTCAAGCCCTAATGCTTCTACTACAGGCACACACACTTAGATAGACAAACACACAAAAGGGCCCAGTAATCAGCGTATGTGTGGGAGTGCTTTCTTATAATTCTATTTTTGTGAGGACCAAAGAGCACCACTCACATGGGATAATACACTTTTTTTCATTCTTTACTTTAAATTTTAATTTTTAAGAGGCATGTAATAGGTATTTTTTAAATAAAAGGCTACACTGACAACTAATTGAAGCAAATGTCCTGACAAGTATTGTAATACAAACCTGAGTGTGTGTGTGTGTGTGTGTGTGTGTGTGTGTGTGTGTGTGTGTGTGTGTGTCATTGAGTGAGTGACTGGATTGAGAGCACTGCATATTTGATAGTGCGTCTCCAGGGAGGGCACTTATGCCCCTGTGCTCCCTGGGCTGCCACATCTACGCGTGTGTCTGCGAGTGTGTGAGCGACAGAACGTCTGTGTATCTTCATTAACTATAGTGGGATGTATTTCCCATAGCTCATCAATTATGACTGAGAGGTATCTTAGTATGCTTCCATGGATAATGACACTCTCTCTTTTACTTACACACACACACACACACACACACACACACACACACACACACACACACACACACACACAGACACACAGACACACACACGACACACACAGACACACACACACACTAATATAAGTGATTTATGACCTTGGCGAAATGACAAGTTGTTTAAGCTGAATGATTTCCCTCAATGACAAAGGTGGTAATCCCTCTTTTGACTGTATGATTTGGCTCAATTCAAATTATGATATACTGGCATGGTGAAAATAAATGTACATTTCCCCAGCATGAGGAAGCCAATAAACATATTAAGGTAAGCCTATCACAATAGGAGGACAAATATAAACAGATACTGTGATGCTAAATGGCTCTTTAATTTATTCTTTGATTAGCAACAGGCTTCAAGAGACATTAACTGACTCACCCTAAAGATACAACCACCCACACTGTTTCACTGCTGCTGTTTGTGTTTGGCTTGTTAATGTTCACATTACCCAAGCGAACCAAGGAGCCTCATTTATAAAAATGAATTTATACTTAGTTTTAAGATATTTTCCGACAGTGTGCTTATTAGAAGACACTGAGCATAACAAAAGTAGCAGGAACTGAGAAGCCCATTTGTAACTTAAACTCCTGTGATCTATAAATCTCAAATTAACTTAAAATTGAAGGAACCTGCTTTACAATCAGTGGTTTCCCCTTATATACTGCAAGCACAACAGAGGGTTTAGTCAGGATTAGCCATGGTTACTTCTTTCTAATCTGACACACTATTTACAGAACATTGCATCCTGTTTTTAGTTGTAAACACCCTGCATCCTTCCTATCACTGTTCATAAAGGTAATCCAAAGTTCACCACAGGCTTGGGCACATAGGATTCTGAAAATCAAAACAAACCAGCAGGAAAACCTAACATCAACTTTTCTTTGTGACAAGGTTGTTTCCAGTAAGGTAAACTACTTCTATGTAGTTTTCTGACTAAATCATACTTAATCTCGAAAACGATACGCAAGGCCCCAGGGCTTGTAGATAAATGTTTAATGGACTCTTGGTTACCGGTTTGTTTACCATGTCCAACAAAAACAAGCTTACTAGACGTACATTCATTTGTGTAAATGTGACCACATCTATATTGTGTATATCTGTATGATTTTAAGGTGAAGCAGACTCCCATTCTCCCCTCCCCCCTCATTGATGTGTCGCTCTTATTCACATTTCATACTTCTTCACCTTCATCTTCCTTCGCTCTATCTCGTTTTATAACTCCATTTACTTGTTCAGAAACTGCCTTGTTGAGAAACAGTTTGCACACTGTAATTTCCTGCGCACAGGCGCATGGAAGCAGCAAATAACTTCCTGTAGCTGCACTCAGCAGTATGGAAGCTATATGCCAGGGATTTAACACCCGCATCCAGTGATTACACATTCAAGCCTAATCCTCTCTCCATTACTGACAGATGACTATTCTTTATGCTGCACTATAATGCAATTATTTAATTTGTGTGTCCATATGTGCATCATTCCAATGGCAGTGGTGTGTTTATTCCATGCAAGCTTGTGTCTTCATATTGTGCGCGCTTTATGTAACAGATTTTTTTTAAGCACTGGCATGCTTGCACTGTTGGAAATGTAATCTGCCTGATGTGTTTACTTCAGTTTATTGAAATTAGCAGGTGGCGGTTATACGAAGAAAGAGGCTGAATTAAAGTAATTAAAATAAAAATACAAGTTTCTACACGTAAGAAGAGAAGGAAAGGAAAAGGAGAGAGAGTGAGATGGAGAATGAAAGGATGAACAGAGAAAGGAAGCGAGAGACCTGTTGGAAATGATGGAGCACAGAGAGAATTGATAAATGGGTCTGTGTTGCTAAACACGTGATATATCAGCATTACACCGGCGATAATTGTGGGAGCATGCATGCATGAGTGTCTGTGTATGTATGTAGATGTATGTGTGTGTGTGTGTGTTCCTGTTCAGTCTGATAGTGAGAAACAAGTCTTGAGGTAGTTATAAAGTCATTATCATTTTAATTGCCAAGCTTTAAGATCTCAAGGAGAACTCATGGGTAAAGTAGAACAAAAATTTGATAATCTTCCCTTTCGAGTTTTTTAGTGTGTGCGTGTGTATGCATGAGTGTGTGGCCTCACCGAGGCAATTGAAAGGCTTCTCGAGTTTCTTTTTCATCACACTAACTCTAATTAAAATCCACTTGTGTGTAACTGTGTCTCCCTGTTTGAGGTAATTACCAGTACAGGTCATCTAATATGTAACTTCCCTTCTTATAATACAGGTTATAAAGAAACTCTGGTTTGACAGTAAAAGAAAAGGTTGAAAACCAGTATGTCATTAGTATGGTCAAGCGACCACCTCCCATTTGAAATGATGAACAGTGCTACACCCAACACTTCCAGACAAGAGTCATCAGGAGGTGTTAGGGGCCATCTGCCCTTCAGTCAAGAGATTAATACCAAATTCTTTTTTTTTTTTCCACACCTGTTTTTCTTTTGACAAAGAAATTACAAAACATGTCAAAAGGTCCTTCATGTAGCATTTTAAAGCTGACCTCTGTAATTTCCATGTCTGTGTCTGTAATCTTATGTATTACAATCCTCAGCATGGGGCCACTAGTGCCACAGAATTGATTTTTGACTTGGACAGGGTGACAAATTTCACAGAACTCCACATGACAGATCTGACATCAATGAATCATCCCCTCTGTGACCTCTATATTGTATGCCTCTTGCTCAGACGTTTGAGGAAATCTGCTTGACTGCTTTAAAGTAGACATTTTTTTCCCAACATGTAAAGCATATAAAATAAAGTATAAAAACACCAAGGGCTACTGTAGTACAAACATCCTCTTTGCAAATTGAAGTTGCACGGTGCTAATTTTTCAAGACTGCCAGTAACAATGCAATGTGATACCAATTACAAAACCAATCATAGATTCAAGGGTTTCTTCTTAAAATTGTTTAAACTGCACCATTTAAAACAATACATGGTTTATAGTTAAACAATGTGCATTGTCTGAAATAGCATGGAAATCCTGGTACTTAAACCTTAAAACAAACTTTTTGCTGTTCAGGGGCCCCATTATTCTTGATTAACTTACAAAGACCCTAACCGTGCAAGGCAGGAGGACTTGCAAGATCAGGTGAGAATCTATCTTGCCAGGCTTCAAGCTATGGGCTTGTGTACATCATTACAGTAGTACCAAAACAATAACCATCCTGTGAGTTACAACTGACAGCTACGGCATGAGCTATGGATGTGGTTTAATGCTAGGTGTGTGGGACAACATGTGGGAGAGGAAAACAACAATGGTGGCTACTAAAGAGGTTAGTGAAGATGCTGCTAGCACCAGTTATGTCAGAACTTGAGTTTATTTCTTAATTGTTTTTCTCAATGGAAAAGAGGTTTTCGCTTTTCTCCAAATGGCTTCAGTAAGAGTTTTTTGTTGTTCTGATTGCAAGTTCACCCCTGATAAACAATGATAGACAGATGGTTCATCCAATCACCAAGTACTTCATGAAAGAACCTGTCCTTTTCTAGTTTCCAACCACAGCTTTCCAGATAGTTATGTGTAACAAACCATCTGGGACACTCAGGTTACACAGACCCTCCATTTTTATATCCAAGAATGAAAAAGGGTGGCCTTGGAAACAAGGTTTCAGACACATTTTGCACCCACAGATACATTGGTCCAGAAGTTTGACTGTTATCTGAGATTCACCTTCAGTGTAATCAGTGAAGTGCACCTCTACCACTTAATGTACCTGTGGTTGATTGTGCAAGGACTGAGGTTTGCACGAGGGTCAGATCTGCACTGAAAATTTGCAGCTTCTCAAGAGCGGGTGCAAATACACAGAGCTGTATTGGTAGGTAAGAGAACACTTGATCAAGGAGTGATACAAATAATAAAGGAAATAAGCAAAATAAATGCTTTCTAAAGGGAAAAAAAGGGCAGAATTCATAACTTAGCAAAATATCAAATTATTGATTATTAATGACAACAAAAATGGGGCAACCCTGTCTCATAGAAATTCTACTCGTCTAAATCACCATTAGGGCATTATTTTTTCTTCCAAACGTATTTGCTGTTGCAAATGAGTTGTATATGGACGTTATATCAAGGAGACAGGACCGACTAGGGAGGAGACGGGAGACATGAACATGCATATGTTAATAGAGGTGTTAAGACACAACTAGGATTTTATGTGTTCGATGCGGCATTTACAAGTATGGATTTAGCTGCAGGTGCTGTGGGAATCTACGTGAAATATCAACCACACCGATTTACATCTTACACCCGCTCTGGTATGTGTGTCTGCGTGTCTGCTACCAACTGATCTGCTACAGTGAAGGTCTACCACCAGCTGTGATGATTTGTACTTTTAATTCCTTCTGAGCACAACTTTGCATCATTCCATTTGTTTAGCATTCTAAGTATTATTTTTAAAACTTTATGATTAAAATATAACTAATGTTTTGAGTATACTGTTTACAACATCATTAATTTTATCATTAAACCATTATTATTATAATTTTGTGCCTAACAGAAACACAAATTAGTTGAAGTGCAGCCTTGTGTTTAAAAATTGAATGAAATCAAATGAAATTATTCTTTATTTATTTTATTTTTTAAAATATATTTTTTGGGGCTTTTGTTGCCTTTTATTATAGTGACAGCTGAAGACAGACAGGAAAGGGGGGCAGAGAGAGGGGATGACACGCAGCAAAGGGCCGCAGTTTGAATTCGAACCCTGGGCTGCTGCAGCAATGACTGAGCCTTGGTACATGGGTCGCCAGCTCTACCCACTCAGCTATCCGGGAGCCCAAATTATTCTTTATTAATAAGCAGTGTAGATAACAAAAATCTAAAGTGACAAAAAAAGGTCCTTGATTTCTGATTTTCTGAGCTTGCTGATCAACATTGAACTGTGCCTTTAAACTCTCCTTCACTCACAAACTCAGACTATAGTAAATCAGTTTTTGCATTTACGTATTGGACAACTCATAGACAGCCCCAGTTGGACTCCAACTGTAATTTCTGTGCATTTTATATTTGTTTAGAGTAACTGTGGCTCTTACGTGAATGTTAGGACAAAAACATTAGATGTATCAGAAGAAAATAAGAGGCTTTTTTTCAGTGTCAAACTGACTTACTGTCCGTGCTTTTAACGCACACACAGACTCACGTGAGAGCATGCGATAACTCACTTTAATTGTCTCAAGATTAACTTGAGTAATTACAAGCACACAAAATAATTTCCTTATTAAGCTAGATCAGGTTCATTCTGATAAAACCACACAAATCTACATGCTAGTCAAGGTTTATCAACCGAGGCTATCATGGAGGACATAAATAAAAAGGGTCTTTTAATACCAAAGTCACTCAAGCTTTTCCACAGATATATCTAAATACTGTAGTTGTGTATTCAGAGGCAGTTATGGGGCAGGTGAGAGGTCATTTCAGTGATTAACTGGAAGGCGAAACAAGTGCTTCTCATTTTCAGAGCTGCTCCAGCTAATTGACAGTTATGCAAATACACGTCACACTAATGAAAGTACTGCGATAATGGTTCATTTATGCATGGAGTGTGTGTGTGAGTACGTGAGGACAGGAGTCAGTCAGCCATCTCAATATTACTATTGCTCGAAATCAAGCACACAGTGAGTTCTAGTGATTAACACTGAATGTAAACATTTTACTTCATTACAAGAAAACTCATTTTTTTTGTGTAGTTTTGTTTTATGCTTGTGCACGTCCTCACATTCTTTTTCTGTTACTCCAATTCACTCTTATTGTGTATTAAGTGAGGGAAGAAATAGAGAGATCAAAAACTCAAACAAAAATTGCATGATATCTGAATAAGTCTGTGCACCCACAAAGAAACTGCACGTTGTAAAGTGGTACCACGTGTTCTTCAATAGTCTTCCAGGACTGCTACTCACTGCTAAAGTTGAGCTGTAAATTACAGCACATACACTCAAGAAATAGGATAGTGAGCACCAAGCACATGGAGAGGCTCAAAAGACATTTGTCCTATTTAGTGTAACCTGAAGAGGTTGGGAAGCCAAGTAATGAAATGTTATTTTCTAGTGATGGTGAGTGGCAGGAAGAGCCTCGCAAAGAAATATATAAGTTTGACCGGTGCAAGTCCGGTCTTAAGGAAGGCAAATCCTCTCAGCACTCAGGTAAGTATGACAGACAATATCCTGAGCGGAAAAAAAGGATTTCCCTGCTGTTAATGTTGCAGTCAGAGGATGCCCTTTTCTGAGAGATCTAGGAGGCCAAAATGTTAACAGCAGCCAGGAGAATTTATTGTTCACAAAGGAACTTGTGGCTTGCCTTCGACCACGGGACATTTTAATTAATTAGCACATTTATAGCTGAACAATAACTGGGTGCAAATGTGTAAACCTATGAAAATGGCTAACTCTTTAATGTGTTTTTTTTAGTTATAACACATATCGTTATACAGATAATAGAATTTTACAGTCTACTGCAGCACTTGTGCTATCTCTTGAAACATGGATTAAATCACCTTCCTGGTTACAAGGTATCTATAACAAGCATGCCACTCAGTTTAAACACAAACATTGCTTACACTCCTGACAATTGCTTCACTCAGAAAACTCTAACTAAAATTGAGGAACCGAAACTTAAAAAAGGAAAGAAAAATGACACAAAAAAATGTCTACTTACTTCTCCTCTTGCCAACGTCTCCCTTGGAGGTGGCAGCCTCATTTAGCAGCACCATCCCCATGGTGATTGCAGCATCTGGGACAAGGTTGTCAAGGAAACAACACACTGGCGTACAGGAGAGGAAGAACATAGTACACACTGCCCCAGGAAGAACTGCTGGACACACATATGCACCTACAGATACACACATATACATACGTGTGCACAGAAGCACTCAAGCAGATTAGCAATAACATCAGTCGCATGTACAATAACAGCACATGAAATTAAAATTAAACCAGGAGACACTTTGCCGATGGGTCACACTCTCTTTTCATAAGTATTGTAAAAAGGATAAAGAGTGTTTTCAAATGAATCACAGACAGTTTTGTGTCTTTTTTTTGAGAGAGGGCAAGCGATCACATGGCAACAATCTCAAGTCAACTCCACAAACGTAACAGACTAACAAAGGCAACAGAGTGCACATGTCACAGTCATGGCCATTGTTTGTGCAAACACTGTGACTGTGTTTACTGTAGGTGAGATCTGTTCTGATCTGCCAATTTTGTTTGTTTAGTAGTTTATTGCAAATACTTTTTACATTTTGTAATTTCTATTCTAACTATTGCAGATGCAGCTGACCATGGAGAGGTGGAGATCTTGTTTTGAGTTTCCTCTGCAAGGACCTCTTTGCATTTTAACATTTTTTGGAGAGTTCTCCAAGGGTCTTTGAAAACAGATGCAGCTGACCGTGGAGTGGTGCCAATTAAGAAATTCTGTGATACTTGATTTGACTTCAGTATTAAGTTATATGACTTCTTGAAATGAAGACATAAATCTATAATTATGAACAGTTCCTACAATATTGTGAACGTCTCTATTTTAGAGAGCTGTTCTAAAATCACTGCAAAGCACAGCCTTGTGTGGCTTATAATTACAGATTTTTTTCTTCAGCATGTTTTGCATACAAATCCACGTAACTGAAGAAAACCTGATGGCATACACAAACAAAAGGCTGTCACATGGGAAGATACAGAGCAGGAGCTGAGGCATTGTCTTCATGATATGGTATCAGACATGATATGATGGCGTAACACAAACACAAGAGATATTTCCACGTACAGCAATAAAACTGAACCATGAAAGGGTGCAGTCTGGATGACTGTAGGAAGCTTTCCCACATTGTGATAATGAAGTCATCATAACAAATGGAGACATATCAGTGTATAGAATAAGACGGGGCAACTGCATTGAATTTTAACAGTAAAAACAGACTTTTCCTCGTACACCCACACCAGTCTACAGCAACAGAACATTAGAAATGTGTGAAGCAGGTAAGATTAAACAGGCTGCTCTGTACTGCCACCATGTCCAATCTGGCCATCCTATTGCCAGTTCTGCAATGTGTCTGTCTAATGTTTATGTTTTTCAGTGTTTTTCAAAGTGAGAGCTGCCAAATGGTGCCTTAGAAAATGTGAGGTAAGATTAGGGAAAATGCAAAAAGAAAAAAATTACCATATTATAAAATATAATTTGAAATAATACATACCATTATCAGAATCTTATTTGCCAATTGTCAGTGTTGACCTGGTAACGGTCTACACCTGCCATAAAGCTGTTGCTCCTTAAATTTAGCTAGCAAGCTTGCTAGCATCTACCATGATACCATGACTTTTGTGAAACTGAGTAGTAAAAGCTCTAATCCTAGTTTTCCTTGGCACTAATATTTCAATCAATTGCTTCTACTTCTCTCCACTGAATCTGCTCAAATGTAGAAAAATGCCAAATGAGATTCTAGTTCACAAAAGTCCATGATTCGCCATAGCCCACTTTGTTCAATTTACATTACCCAGTTTTTAAGCATTCTAGCCTTACACAGCCTTACAGTTTAGAATTTTTACTATCTGCTTCAAAGCAGAAATCCACATTGATGTATTTATATCATTTTGGTATGATGGATTATGGTAAAACACTAAAAACACCACATTTACAACAGTTGGAGACATTTTCAGTCCTCTGCTATAAAGACAGGTTGATTAGGTTACAATGCTAATGCCATCTAACTTCATCACTTCAATATATAATGCTTTTTTCATGTAATCTGGTTGAATTGATTGATCCTTACCCATTTGCCTATAATGAAAAGAACAAGTAATGCCACTAGGTACACTCTACACTGTATGCCAGTGAGTGTATCACAATGAGAGAAATACATTTTTCTGTGTTTCTATTTCATCCTCAAATGGTATGGTTATGCAACTGCACGTGGTACCAGGGGTGTGTGTGCATGCATGTGTACAAGGAATTAAACAAGGTTACATCCGTGGGGAAACTGCATCTATGACAGTCATAAAATGTGTTTACACCACCTGCACAGACAACAAGGGTAAGTGTGTTAGAATTTCAGCAGGTGTGAATGTGTGTGTGTGTGTTTCATTTAGATGTAATCAGATGGGCAGAAAATAAAAAAATAAACTGTGTAAGCTTGGACAAACAAATATTGCTCTGCAGCAGGTGCGACCTTGGACCTGCTATTTCCCATGAGGACAAACAACAGCTAGGAATGAACGGTATCATTACCCACACACATATAAACGCACCAGTGCAAGTACACACGGCTACACAAGCAGACTGAGAAGTAGACAAACAGAAACATCTATCCTGCCAAATAAGTACACAATCAAACACACACAGACACACACAGTCACAGCCTATCATCAGGGGTTGAATTTAGAACAAATCAGGCAAGGAGGTGAAGTTAAAAGAGAACAATTTGTTGTCTTTGTATTGTCTGTTTGCTCAGTCCAACAGGCAGCCTCCCTATGGGGAATGCACACAGATGACAAAGGGTTTGTGTTGAGAATAAATGTAGCAGACAGCAAAATTGGATGTTGTTTCAGACATAAAAAGTGGCTTTGTAGGTGCTGTTTGTAAGCAAATGGAGAATTAAAGGAATTTGTTGCCAAGATGAGCTGCTGGACATTTTGCCAAGAGTTCAACTGCTCTGGATGATTTGCATTTTGCAGCAGCTCGTTTCAATTGAAACATACAGTCACAAACATGTTGGTGAAAGGATACTCAGGAGAAGGATGATGTGAGACTCAGCCACAAACTGAGCCTGACTGCTGCCATGAATATAACTCTGCAGGAGAGAAAGAGAGGCAGACGGACATATTAGTTCATTTCAGTTGACAAAAAGGTCACACTAGGTAACATCCTCAGTCCAAATTGAAGAAATAAAGAAGAATACAGTAAGGAAATGGAGGGTTGAGTGAAATGTGAAGAACAAGGCTGTACAGTAAAGCTGGTGACTAAAGAAAAGGATTTAGAAAATCATTAATCAATAGGTCATAAGCTTTTGTGAAGTTACAGAAAAAGTAAATGTCTGGTACCATCCCAAGAGACAAACCTCTAATGGTTTATGAACCTAAAAGGATGGCACACATCCCTGAAACTTAAGAGTGATGAGATTCAGAATTCATTTTATTGCCAAGTAGCTTTTGACATAAAAGGAATTTGCCTCAGTATATTGGTATGTATAATAATAGACAATATTTACAATATGGCTGTAATTTTAAATTGAAGATATTATTATTATTATTATTATTATTATTATTATTATTATTATTATTATTATACTATTAAACACATTAGGCGTATGACTGAAGTGTGGTTTTTATTATTCCAGATGACACTATGCATGAATAGCATACTAGATTTTTCTACAGAAAGCCAAGATAATTGTTCATGCATCTCACACGCATTAACATGAAAAGAACAATGAAGAACTAATCTGGCTGCTCTGTTCTGTGCAATTTGAAGTTTTTTTTTAGATGTTTGTAAGCAGCACTTGACCAGATGACTGGGCAGTACTCCAGGTAAGACAGAACATGTGACTGAACAACGTCATTCATAACAGAAGGCGAAACATATGCAGAACACTTCCTTTTGTTTTCCTATCATAGAGACAATATGATCAATCTGGTCAGACTAAGACAGTAAATGATCCAATCTAATGCCCAGTAATTTGGTTTTAGTAACCTGCTCAACTAATATCCCATCTATAGACAAGCTGAGTGCAGTGGTTTTAGCATGAGCATTCTGACTACTAAAAACAATACATTTTGTTTTGTCAGTGTTCAGTAGCAATTTGTTCATTTTCACCCATTTAGTTATAGAATCCAACTCAACAAGTAGATTTTCTCAGTTCCACTAAAGTTGGAGACACACAGAACAAAGTTGAATCATCAGCATACATAACTACATCAGCATTTTTAACAATATGGAATTTATAAAAAATTTAAATAAGAGGGGCCCTAAGCATGTGGTGTTTTTGTAACTAGTCCATTTCTATTAAAGTCATTTGACATTTGATTAAAACTAATCTTCAAGTATCTTACTCGTCTACACCTGGAGCCATCTTTGGGTAAAGGTATTATTTTTCTCTTTCCAAAGCTCCGGAAAGGTACCACTGAGAAAGCATCTATTACAAATATGACACATTGATTTGGAAAGCTGTCTAGCTGCAATTGTAAAAAAAAAATAAAAATAAAAATTCCATCCAGGTTATCTATGCCAGGAGATGTTTTAAACCGGTCTTAAACCATCTACTTAAAAATATGGCTTGGTGATAAACTGACCTGCACATTCCAAATACTTCTGATAATTACCCGACTTCTTGCACGTTATTTGATTTCAAGTTTTCCACATTTTTTTTAACCATCATTTAAAGACCTGTGAATTTGTTTGTTGAAAATATTCTATCTTTTTAATATAGTTTAACTTAGTAACCTTATTTCTCAACTTCTTTCTAAAAAGCATCCTGATTAATGGCAACTGTGATGGCCTGGACTTGTTGGTAGCCAAAATGGTGTCCATTTCCTGGCTTAAACTTTCCATTATAACGATGGACATACGAGATGTCTTGTTATGCAGCAAGGCAGCAGCAAGGCAGGTTGTGTTTTGGGCAACCACACAAATATATGAATATGTCATTTGCATGTATGTGTATGTATTGTGTGTGTGTGTGTGTGTGTGTGTGTGTGTGTGTGTGTGTGTGTGTGTGTGTGTGTGTGGGCGTGCGCAGATCAGATGAAGAGTTCATGCATGTGAGTGTGTGCTTGTGTATTGTGAGTCATAAAGATTTCTCTCATGTAGCGCGTTGGTGTATAGAGGTGATACCTTTTCACTGAGTGGGCTGGGAGGTTAGTCTAACCCTACAGGAATACTCGCACACACATACACACAGGATTGCATTAACTAAGACTCAGTGGAGACTCCCACTGTTAAACTTGCTTCTTACTGTACACCTCTCTTGATTCATATTTTCTGCATTAATGCTGCTCCTACATCTTTTAGAGAACAGAAGTAGAGCACAAAGTCAAATAATCTCAAAACCAGAAAATGGTTGGAGCAGAGGATAATTTATCGGTTGGCTAGGAAAAGACTGGAATAAAAGTTTCAGTGCCAATACAACTTATTCCATATACAATTGTTTTAATGCCAATGTTTCCTTTTTCAGTTCAGGCTTTGTTTTCCATGGGGCTGACACCTTGTGGTTGGCAGGTTGATTGTTTGGTTGATATGCTCTCATCTGACCAAATTCTCATTTGTTGGATAATCACTGGTGTTACACTAATTAAGAGAAAAGTGTTTCTTAATCGGTTATTTTTGCGGCAGGAGGAACATTTGCAGACCTGATGTATGTTTATATGTGCTATATTGTTAGACATAACATTGATTATGTATACAAGACAATATTCAAATATATTTTACTCAACAAATGTAGTACAGTTTTAATAATAATGATAACTATAAGTTAGGAAGACAAACTGCTCCTGTTTTCACAACTTTTTACTTTTTTATAAAAATGTATTTTCAGTGCTGAAATTTAAAGTCACTGCACAATTAAATGATAAACTATCATACACATTAGTCTACGAAAGTCTCCCACACAGCACAATGCTTAAGACCAAACTCCACACAAGCAAGCTTCTTTGATAAGATGCCAGAGGCCTATTTTGACTGGCATCTGTCTGTGTGATGGAAGAGAAGTAGATAGACAGACAAAGAAAGAGAAAACGGTAGTTTTGTGGAAACGAAAGAAAAGAAGGAGAGAGAGAACGGAAGGAAGTATTTCAGTGTGTTTCTCATTGTTGAATCCCTGCAGATTATTAGCGTCTAGGTTTACGGCGCATCTAGGGTCTGTTTTTCCACTTGACTGCCCCTGTGTTCATTTCTTTCCCTATCAGACAGGAATGAGGGTGGAAAGATGAATAGAAGATGACAAAGGAGGAGGGGTAAAGGGAGGACAGCTTTTTCTTGCTTCAGTGGAGAGAAATGAAGAATTTTTGCACTTGAAAGCAGTCATAAAGATGACAAAGGCTCAAGGCTGAAACAGATCCCTTTGTCTTCAACACAGACCTGTTGCTCTGCATTAACTGATTATTACCACCATGAGAAAAAGTTTTATTTGGAAGTTGGTGAAAGATTGCTTTTTGCATTCCCAATCAAGTACAAGTACAACTTAGTAGTGTCACAAGGAATTTCTATTATATTGTCTCAAATTAATTATATTAGTTAAATTCCAGGTTATTTAAAAAGGTTATGCCATTAGCACAAGAGTAAGGTGGTGGTGGTCATGATGCAGTACGGACAGGAAATGAATCTGGAAAACACAAATTCACAAAAAAAATTAATAAATCTTATCTTTCAGCTTGCTAGCACAACATTCTTACTGGCATTTGGCTTTTGGACAAGCATGCACATGAAATTTAGTTTTTTTTGTGTGCTGACATTTAGTGCTGATTAAATAACATTGCACTGGGATAAGATGAATTTATCCCTGATTTCATCCCAGTTTCAAAGACCAAGGGCATCTTTGTAAAATGTTCAATAACTGTACAGGAAAAAGGGTACTTTTGAAAAGTGGCACAGCTGTGCCACTTTTCAAACGCTAACTAGCCCATATGCAAACCTTAATTGAATGAGACAAGCTCAGTCCCCCTTTCAGGACATTGTTGAACAGTCACTCGGGAAATGATTGCTAAATCAAGTACACTACAAGTAGATGCGGCAGGTTAAAGGAAATTGGGGAGAGGAAAAATAAATTACTAAACATGCCCGGAAAAGCTTAGAAAAAAACACAGCTTGATGAGAGACAAATGCATTAGTATGGGAAGGTAGAAATTTTCTTTCATTACAAAATCTAAACAAACATTGCTTCATACTATTATGCAAGACACAGCTCTCTGCATGTTACCTCCTCAACATAAACAGAAATTGAAGATAAAGGCTATGAGCAAGAGCTGTGCTTGGGGGATGAAAAATTCCTCAATCCATGGCCAGGCACTTCCAATTAATCTGATGGATTAGAATGCAGGAGTTCCATTCATTAGTGTGCAGCTAAACTGAGCTGAGAGTGTGTGCGTCTTTCAGTGTATGTAGTTTTGCTTTTGCTATGTGTATGCTGAAAACCAGTAAGTGAATGCGTGTTTGTGAATGAGACTGTTTAGGGAGAATTTGTCTGTGTGAAAGTGTATGTGTGTGTGTGTGTGTGTGTGTGTGTGTGCGTGTTCATGTGTTCATTAGAAAAAAGCACAACATCGAGGTGGTCTGGAAGTAAAAGCAGCCACAGCTTGTTGAGCTGACATGGAAATGAACGGTCACACTCTATAACTCGTTCTTTACCGGTTATTTAATCAAACATACAGGTTACCTACACAGACTAACTTATACACTTGTGAATATATACAGCATGCAGGCTCTGAACTGTGGTTTGGTGCTGAATACAGCAAGATACTATGCAAAAAAGGAACTGTTTAACATTTATTTAAATGACAATGGACTGAGACAAATTAATCTGTTAAGAGACCTATATAACATATAGAAGAAGATGGCTTCCAATGCTTTTGCTACCAAATAACCCCCATATACTTGTTGAAAACGTAACTGCATAACATCACTTCAACAAAAGGTTTGCATGTGGAATCAAAAGATCTCTTGAATAAAGATCCAATCTTAAAATCATCAAAACGTAGGTTAGTACGGTTTTGTCTTTATGAGCTTCCAAGCAACAGGAGCGTCGACCAACTGCCTCATTTACTTCCATTATCAATGGGAAAAGACATTTCAGGAGTGAAG